AAAAGAAAAGGAAATAAAAGAAAAAGAAAACGAACTTAGATAAAAGAAAGATGGCCCACCAGAAAGTATGACTGTGGCACTTTTGAAGGAAGTGTTAAATGAACTGAATATTACCTTCAAAAGTAACGCGAAAAAGGAAGAATTAATTGCGAAGGTTAGACATGCGCGGGATAGGACAATGAACAATGTAACTTTGAATACACCGATCGAGAAAACCCGAATTATAACATTTCCGTGTTGTCTGGACAAGGCTTAGGAGCGTTTTTATTTGCTTTCTTAGAATGTGAAAAAAGGAGAAGAGCCGTACGATGTTTCTGRTTATTTACTATATTTTTCCAGTGCTTTCTTTGCCTCCTTTTAGTTGCAGATTTGCTATTAGAGAGTTTTAGATTGACTTTTTTTTCTCCTCGCAAACGGCAAACGTGACCACGTTTTAAAGTTTTCGTGTATTTTACTTTACCTTTTACAAACCTTCTCACCAAGCGCAAAAACTCTTTTGTTGTTCTACTACTTGGACTTTTTTGCGATTCTTTTTCAGTAATTTAAAAGAATTTTTACTGGTCAACTGACATTTCACGTTTGCCGTGAACGTAAATCTAAAACTCTCTATTATTTTGTGGCGAACTGATTGTCATGTTATGCATCGCAGAATTTGTAGTTGCCTTGATTTTGTAGCTTTACAAAGCTATCCTATCGTGGAATGCAAGTTTAATCTTTATGCTTGCCTGCGTTCAACTCGATGAAACTTTGAGTATTACTTAAAGGCGAACGGAGTCTCAATAGACTAGTGTGATGGAACGTTCATTAAGAAATTTAGCATTGAATTTGACAATCATGAATATGTTTGCGTGGGTCATTTACGTTTTCAAACTTTCATTAGCGTTTTGGTGCAGACAATAAAATACAACACACTTTCAATACAGCGTTTTGGACATTTATTCACGCAATAAATGAAGCGCGGTCCTCGTCGTCCCTTTCAGAGTTTGAAATCAGGGTTTTACTTCTGATAATGACCGACTTAAGTTAATGGCCTCACATCTCTGTTGTCAACTAAAAAAAAGGCAAGCGATTTGTATATGACGACGTCGTCATAAACTCGTTAGAGCAGACGGCGTTTGATGCAAATAAAATCAATCGAGAAACCAATACAAACAAAAAAAATGTTTTATTGATTAGTCCCTCTTAGGGGTGACTTTTCATCACTGCCACGCCCATCATCCCGAAATACAGGCCACTTTTAGGGGTCATTTTCGGAATTTCCGACGAGGACCCCTGCCCCCTTTATAAGGGAGGCCCCCCCCCCCCCCCGGGCTTTTTTCCCTCTTCTATGAATTAAAACTCCAAACCATAATAATGTACTTTTGTTTCTTCAATTTGGCATTTTTGAACTTCTCATTTTGATTTTTTTTAAATATTTTTGGTAAAATGTTGGGCATCTATGGTCCTCTGTTCACCTTGTTTTTGAATCGACTTTATTAGGAAACTATATCTTTTTTCTGTATTTACTGCGCATATATAAAGTATATTTTACGCGTTATTTTTCATGATTTCTTGAAAAATGTCCAGGGACTGGGGGCAGTCAGCGCGCTATTTCCCCAGGAGTCAAAGGGTTAATTAAAAATGACGGACGTCGGCGGGCAGAAGTTGAGAACTTGAAAAATCAAAAATTTGTTGAGTGAAAATTTACTACAAATGATTAAAACTAATTTTGGAAAACAGAAACTGTCTATTTTGTGGACTCCTTAGTTTGTTTTCGCCTGCGCTTTGTCAACTAGTGAGTTTAAGTTTTCATCATTGATGTCGGCAAAATGGATTTTCGCCGTCTTGGCTTGTTAGGCATGTTATCGATGCAAAACCTGAAACTTCAGCTTCGACTAAGTTAAGAGAAACATCAAAGAGTGGAAAAACTTTTTCCATTTTCCTCGAAGCTTGAAGTAACGATATAGTGGGAAAGTATAAAAACGTTTTTGTAAAAATGGTCAATCATGTCATTACCGGCCAAATAGAGCATAGGTTTTCAGCCAATCAGAGCGCGCGTACTATCTAAGCTATATCATAATGCACAATAAATGACAGCGTACGGGCATTATATTGGTTTCAAGACGGTTTTAAGGATTAAGTTTAAAAAACACTCATTTATTCGCATCAGTGAGTGCGAAAGGAGATATTGAGGCTAGCCCTATCGTGAATATCTCCCAGGATCGAATTAGAATTTAATAGTTGGTTTTTGCGAATGGAGGAGAACCGGAGAACCCCGGAAACCCTCGAAACACAGGAGAGAACCAACAAACCACGCCGGGAACTCGAACCCGGGTCGCATTGGTGAGAGGCGAGCGCTCTCATCGCTACGTCACCCATGCTACCCAGAGATTGTCCTGAACACATTTCCAKTTGGGGAAAAGGGTAGCCTGTGTCACATCTGGAATTTTCTTCGTAAAAAAAAAAAATTCCGGATGTGACGCAGGCTAGCATAGTGTGGACGGGGCCTAAACCTAACGCATGCCAGCAAGACATACTGTTGTGCTTTTTAAGAGCTAACTAATTTTCTCTTTTCATTGCCTGTATTTTTAAAAATTTAATCCAACCCTCATATTCTGAAAGAGAAAAAGTACTCACTTTATTGTAACAACTGTTAATTGGTTATATTATTTAAAAAATCATACTTTTATACTGATCAGTTGCACACTATAACCTAAGCAACCACAAGAGAATATTAAGTATATTAAGAATATTTAGCAATTATTCGCCGAAGGAGAAGTGAATAGAGAGTTTTAGATTTACGTTCACGGCAGTTGACCAGTAAAAAATTCTTTTAAATGACTGAAAAAGAATCGCAAAAAAAAGTCCAAGTAGTAGAAAAACAAAAGAGTATTTGGTGAGGTTTGTAAATAGTAAAGTAAAATACGGGAAAACTATGAAAACGTGGTCACGTTTGCCGTTTGCGGGGAGAAAAAAGGTCAATCTAAAACTCTCTAATATCGGGGAATATTTACCGAGACGCGAGTCTTCCATATTCMCTGAGCCTGAGGCGAATAATTATTTTAGCATATACCAACTTGTGTACAGAGTAACTTATTTTTATACACTTATTTCAATAAAGTTGGTCACCAAAAAACCTAGAAAACTGTGATCACTGAGGATCATAGGAAACTTTTCATATCAAACGAGTAAAGCTTTTGATACAAATTGCAGCTTGAGGATGCTCAGAAGAGGTGAGACTGTAACTGGTAAAAGATCTAAAATCCATCAACAGTAATTAAAGCGGTATGTAAAATGTAACTATACATAATCCTTGTTGGTCTCAGCTTTGTAGCTTTTCGGGTGACTAACTTTATTGAAATAAGTGTATACAATAATTCAATAAAAACAAACAAACAGAAACCAATTCACGCAAAACTTTTAGCAAAACGTTTAGGCCATACTTCGTTGCCTTTTTAGTATTGATAGGAATGCCATTTACTTTTTTTTTTTCTTCTTTTTTTTTGATTTCCTCATCGGAAATTGTAACAAAACGATTGCCGGCAGATGCCATTTTGTTGCCGACTCAATACAGTATTCCGAGATTCAGAGGTAAATATCGTACAATATTCACCTCCAATTAACCAAAGAGCGCGAGCGTTCTTAGGACGTACACAAGTTGGTATATGCCAAGGCTTATTAGTAAAAATACGCATGTGATTATAAAAAATCTCGCGCGCTGATTGGTCAAGAAACTCACACTTTCAAACGATAATCACCTCGAGCGAAAATCCAAAATGGCGGCCAGCCGCTTTGTTGCTGTTACCGGGAAAARATGCCTTTTTTCTTCTTTTTTTGAAAGAATCACCTGTGTATTTGTACTAAAACAATTATTTGCCTCAGGCTCAGTGATTATTGGGGAATATTCCCCGATAATCACTTCGCCTTCGGCGAATAATTGTTAAATATTCTCTTGGCAACCAACATAAATAAGCAATAATTCAATCAGAAATGATAATCACAAATCACTGCCAAAAATGTCACAGTTCTTTTAAACAAATCCAATGTCACACTGGCGAGTCTCTCACAATCGCGTCCGAGTTCAGTACGGCGTCTATAAATTCACCCACACACATAACTGTTCAACCATAGACTAGCTCTTCTACCACCATCAACTCCATAGCTTCCGCGATGCCCGAGTCAGCAGGCCTCTTCCAAGTTTCGTTCATTTAAGAAAGCATAAGGAAAGCGTAAGGCACATGTAATCTATTTTTGACGCGTAGCTTCTTTTATTTTCCCCTTGTTCGATAGTCATTTGTCTCAAGTATCCACCACCGCGGTGTACACGTATGTGTAGGTTAGTAAAATATTCTCACGATGATGGTTGATTTCTCATATCAAAGGTAAATATTGCATGGGCATCCTGCAGGCCATCGAATTCTCTTGTGGGCTTAAAAGAAAATAAATAAATGATTACACACTCAAATGATAAGTATTGATTATGATTTAAATGGGAAGGCGGCTAGATTACCGTAAGAATACCCCGCTGCTCCACACACCCCACCGTCAGTAGTACCGTTACAATACTGAACACTAACCGACCATTTACCTCACATCCTGCAGCACGTGCCATTCCAATGGCTTTATCCATGTACTCTTTTTTAAGTTTAGGATCCAAATCCAACATAAACCTGTAGAGTGTAGTAAAAATACAATGACATACTGACTTGATAGACTCTCCTTATGGTAACACGATCTTAGTGACCAATCGCTTTTTATCGGTTGGGGGGGGGGGTCGGGATTTACTTGGTAACCTATTCGCTTTGCAACCCCCCTCCCAGTTGTTGCATTAAAAATTGGCCCCTGCCTTGTTTTTCATTGTTTATTATAAAAGTTATGAGCCTGATTTTTTAATGACCCCCCTCAAATTCCAACGTCCCCCTACCAATTAAAAAAAGAACGGACCGTTTCCAGTCACTCACACCCTTGCGCAAGAACAACATATTKGGCTCATCATGAGATTACTTGTTACTGCAATTCTAAAATACTAGAAGGCTAAAATGTCTCAGAACAGTTTCTGCATAATATTTGAATTCGATTCCTAAAGATAGAACATGTTTTGTTTTGGTACACCAACATGGCTGCTGTGCGGTCACGTGAAAACGCTCTATAATACTATCAATCCAACCCTTGAGATCTCTGCTGATTTACAATCTCTCCCGTTTTGCTCACACCTCATACTGAATCACCTTTGCTTGCCACTTTTCCCGTTGCCCCTAAACTGCTAGGACCCTGGCCTGTAATCAGCTGATAACCCTCCCGCCCGGCTTGTTCTTGCTTACCCTAGTTCCTACGTGTACTTACTTTGTCGATTCAATGAAAAGCACTGCTCTATCAGCAAATACATTCTTCACTTCTGGGATTAGACAATGGACCCGTCTAAAACATGAATTCAGACATATAAACTTAGGGACATCTATTCATCACCTATTAGAGACACCAAAGCATCCACAATTGCATACTCTCGTAGCCCTAATTGCTGGCTGAGGCTGGTATTTTGGTTGAATTTAGGACACTTTTTCTCATATTAACTATGTCATGACAACCAAATTTTTAGTTATGTTTGGCTCTAGAACTTTACAAACTAATTGAAGCGCAAGATGGCATAATTTATTTGTCAATAAGTTGAGGAATACTCACACATTACACGGTGCAACATTGCAAGCAACAAATTTGAATCGAGTTGACACGACATTGCAACAAAATCACGCAACATCGCTTTTGTCAGCCTGCTATGTTAAGATATTTGGTCAGCAGTTATAAATTTGGTGCAAGCTGATTGGCTGGAAATTTCAAAATGTTCCAAGTAATGTTGCAGCCATGTTCACATGATGAAATTTGTTGCGCGCAATGTTGCAAGAGTAGAGAGTAATTCAATTTCAGATTTGTTGCATGCAACGTTGCGTGCAACAAGATTGGGGTAGACACACGCTGCAGCAGTCCTGTTGAGTGTAATGTTGCACCGTGTGTCAGCACCTTTAGACTCTGGGTTACTTTTTACAGAGAGGGGAATCTAGAATTGCTCCAAATTTCGCTCGCTAATTCTTTTCCTTACAAACTTGGTTTCAAATAATGCACTTCCGGTTACGACGGCTTTCCGAGGGCGGCTTCGCAAGGGGAAACTTTGAGAAAATTAGCGAGCGAGACTTGGAGCACGTCTAGGGGAATCCAGAGAAGACAGAGAAAAACCTTGAATCAACAATATCTTACTTGAATGCAACATGGAGTGCGGAAATCAAGAAATGAGACGCAAGTGTACTATATAACACCCACCACCCTTGATTGTGACAAATTAACCTAAAAACAATATGTGACCTACAACAAACCCCAGTATAAGTATTAGCATGACAATTACTGTCCTAAAATCTCTACCTGTTCGAGAAGTAAACACAGTGAAATTTGCGGGAAAACTTGGGCCTTTTGTGAAAGTCTGATAAAAGATTGCACGTCTGGAAATGGATTTTGAACCTGTCAATTTTGAGGTAGTCTAAAGAAAAAGATGATCAGTAACTCAGAATGGATACAAACCTAATTATACTTGTATGAGAAGGTTTTTGATTATAAGAGCTGGTAGGTGGTCATCATTATTGAATGTGCTGTGGGTCTAATTGTTAATTATTTAGTTAGTCTTATAGGGACATAATATAGCTTTCTTTTACTGACCCTTATTATCTATATTTTGCTCTTTATTCTCCTGTGTTTTCACCCCTTGGCATTCTCCATGTCCTTCTTCTTCCCCTTTTTCTTCTTCTTCTTCCTCAATAATCTCTTTAAATGTTGCTTCCTCKAGAACTTTAGGTTTCTTATCTTCATCATTTGGAAGACTGTACTTTTTTCCAGTCATCAGTTCATGCATCATTGCAGTGATATTAAACTCTGCAACATCAGTTGCTGTCTGTTGAACGAATCAAACCGATCATAGCAGACCAGAGTATGACAAAAAAATCCAGGATATGTTGAATGATAACAAAATATAGTTACATAGAGAATCACAAGAGAGGGAATCCGCATACGTTGTAACCTTGCTAACTGAGAAAGAGATGAAAGAATAACTTATGGATTTGTCCCTACRGCCTTTACCATAGATAAACTAATCCTTTTACCGCTTCCTGTCTATCTATCCTGTCTTCATCCGACAATGGTCTGAAAAGTAGCAAATGAATAACTAATCTGATGGAGCTTACGACTTTCRTAGTAAAACGTTCTTTTTTTTTAGCTAGAGACACGTTTTGGCAATACATTATTACCTTCTTATTGCGGTTCCCGGTTTATTAATAGCTAAGTTGGTAAGAGCGTTGGTCTTCATTGCACTGAACAGAGGTGGACCAACACTCAGGGTCTTATATGATAACTGAGGAGAATGTGCTGCCTTTGTAATTACATCTGCAAATGGTTAGACCTTTAAGTTTTCTGGGATAAGGGCTTAAAAAGCTATAAGCCCTGTATCCAACCCTTCCTTAAAGTGCCTATCACCTTTCTGACAATATTTACAGTATTATTCTACATGGGGTAAGATGTTGAATAACACTAAAAATATMTATAGTTTGAGTGCAACTTCTTGCAGTCTTAAAGGTTTTTCCATGCCATATGCTAATGCTGTGACGTATGAGGAGTAATCATTTAACATACAAAACACTACTGGTGCAGATAAATTAAATTTGAAATACGTCATTGTTTTCCCCATTRCTCTTATAGAAATGATTGCAAGTTAGTTTTCCCATAGAAGCCGGTGTTTCCAATTATGAGGAACAACAAATAACCATAAATGCCTCCTCATACATCATAGCATTAGCATATGACATGGAAAAACCTTCATAACTTCAAGAAGCCGCACTCAAACTATGTAATTTTTTCGGGTTATTCAACATCTTACCCCATGTAGAATCAATACTGAGAATATTGTCAGAAGGGTGATAGGCACTTTATCTCGTTAATAAGGTGCATAACTTGAAATTGTCAATTTGGGCTTCCTGTGTCAGGGTGGTCGTGAAAAAGAGATCTTTTTAAAACGTCAGAAGGATTCTCAGAGCGAGCACATTGGTATGCTGCAGAGTTAATGGATGCTATTGTTGATGCTTACAGGAACATTATCTACGTACCTTAATATGCTGACCATTGTTGACTTTGAATAGTCTTTGCTCCTCAGATTGAATTCCAAAGCTGATATAGGGACTGTTAACAATGTCTCCCCAGTAACCACGGATTGCTATTGGCCCCTGAGACTGAAGGCAAAAAAAATTTAAAGGAAAACAACTGGCTTGGAAATCAAGATATCAGGTGCACCAGAACCTCCCCTTGGGCCTACAACTGGGGTTACCAGAATTCATAAGAAATATTTCCAGAATGTTCATAAATATGAAAGGACAGTTTGTGGGGACAACTGGAGAACCCAGAAAAGACCCCAAGGGGTGTACTCCAATATATGCAAGGGCAGGGATGCTTGTTGGAAACTTTAAAAATGAACCCTGAAAAGTACCTAGTGGACTTTGCAACTTTTACACCTAAAAGGTACCATTTGTYCATTAAGTAACAGAATGATGATGAACCGAAAATAAATATCTTGAATTACAACTGGCATTCTGGCAGATTTTATTATCTAACAAAAACCCTTAGGTTAAGAGGTACTGGCTTGTTTTGCATTTTACCTTTTTGAATACGAGTTCAGATGACAAACATCTGTTAGATACTTCATAAGTGGAGTCTTCCCTGAGTTTAAAAGCCACTCCCTGTTCACGCCAATTCTTGTATTCATGTTCATTAACAACTGAAGCCTGGTAAACATGGAAATACAGGTAACAGGTGCAAAGAAAGTACCATGGTGTAAAAATGTTTCCAATTAAGGGACTAATAGTAACTTGGTACTAACCATTTTTTGCAATTTCATGACAAAATCCCAGTCAAAAACATTGGCTCGATAATCGAAACGAGCTGCAAGATACTCACGAACCCTTGTTTCCCTGAATGTAAAAAAAACTTTTTTATTAGAATGTCTCCTCTATAAAACTATAGTCTTGTGAAAACAAATTGACAGTTGAATAAACAGGTGGTTGAAAGGAGTGAGGTCAGAAGGAAAATGGTTAGACAGCAGGGTAGTTTAATTAGATGGTAGGATGGGTTGATGTTTAGATGAATGATATTAATATCATCATTTATGATTTATGTAGCACCCTTTCTATATGTTATAATCAAAGGCACTTGCAATCATGAGATGTGGTTAGTATGCACTGAGGGTGGTCAATACCAGGTTTTTTAATAACCTTTAGTGGTTAGTTTGTCCCTCCAATATTGGTTTGTAATGATGAGGTTTGGAGATATGACCACCATTTATAGTGGTCATCCAAGCTATTGACATTCAAGTGATTAGTGATATAGATTAAATGTCTCCTCAAAACTTGAGGGTTGAGTAACATTCCTCTTGCCTACAGCAACATAGTCTCCTCTGCAGCCGTCGTTAGTCCTCTCCACTAACGGCTGCTCACTCAAGCACTACATTCCTTTCCTTTTGTTTAGTTTAACCAATGAACAGTTTCTTGCATATCCAATCCTATTACTTCCCTCAACTGATTTGGAATATACTAGCTGTCAAAACCAAGTTACATCATTCAGAATATGGAATGCCAATTAAGTCAATGATGCTAGCATAAAATATTAATCAAAGAATCCATGAAAATGAAGTTCAAATAAATGTTACCCAGTTTTAAATCATCACTGAAAACTGCAAATAGTTAGCATTTCATATTCAGGCTTCAAATAATAAAAAGGCAAAGGTCAGGGTTTCCATCATTAATTGGTAGCTTTATTTTATTGAAAACRATTTCATTACCATAGCCAGTGGTCAAACTCATAACAACAACCTTTTCCTTTACTATTTTATTAATATGAAGATATAGAAATATAAGTTATAGTGCTTGGGAACGAGGTTATTCTGGGCCAAAGACCCTTGGAATTAAATTTGGAAAAATTAATTTCTGACCTCACTGGGAATCGCACCCACGACCTTCGAAATTGTACTATCAATGTTCTACCAGCTGAGCTAGAGGTCAGACTGTGAGCAGGCCGGGGTGAAACCACGACCTTACATCTATTTCACCCTTTTTCAGTTTGAAAAGCTTTGCTAGAAGTAATTCCTTTGTTTTACACTGCACATTTTTCTGTGCATACTAAGAGCACGGACCTAAAAAAGTTTAGGCATTTTTCTTTCAGAAACTAAATATGAAACATGTTCAAAACCAATCTTCACTGTTCTCTCTTTTTTGAGTAGAGAAATTGCAATTTTTATCTGACTCTCCCCAGTCTCCACTGATGTTTTTCCAAGATAAATCGAAAACAAGAATGGTGACCCCCATTTTTTATTACAGATTTTTGAAAAATGAGATRCTGATCATTATATATCAAAATATGAAGGATAGTTTATTGGGTAGTCTGAAATATTTTGATGGGAATAGTTGACATGTGCAATTTTTGGACGTTCGTAGAGGTGCACATACCTGCATTTTTCAGTAATAGTTCAAGAATCATAGTCATCCAATGACTTTGATGGATTTAATAGTGAGATTGTCTAGTAAAATTCGAGATATAAGTACGTTTTGTTATATGAAAGTACTTTTAACTGTGAATAAAGGTTCTTGATTACAGCTTCCAGTTGCTACCACATTTCACTATAAAACCCATAAATTGACATATTTGGAGAGCATCTAGTGAAATAACGAGAATGGTGGCCCCATCTTTTTATTGTGGTTTTTAAATGTCCATAACATAATGAATGTCCATGCAAAGTTTCAGGACAAAGTTATTGGCAAAATTTCTTTCAAGGGAATTACCTTAAACAGTCTGCCATACTAGCAGCTGTTCACTCAAGCACCACAGGGTTGACCAATGAGAACCAGGCTTCCATTTTCTGAAAATCTGACATATAGGCTAAGGTCAATGTCAGGGTTTCCAGAAAAGGGAACCRAAACTACTAATGACAGCTGCGAAGGAGACTAACAACGACATGACTTCAACAAAACCTCCATCAGCTTTTGRGGGCACTTAATCACAAATCACCCACATGTCTTGCTATTACTAATAAATACATACCATGCCTTCTGCATATCCAATAATTTTGCATCAGTGTTTCTCCAAAATTTAAAAATTCCTTCCAAAACATCTCTGTCAAAAAACTGTGCAGTCCAATATTAATTTTGCAAAAATATTAATCAAAACAAGGTCATTAAAAATGTAAACATGGATCATATTTTCAAATCATGCCTGGTTGTTTTTTTTTACCTTGAGATGTGACAAGTTAAAGCATGGTAAACAAGCTTCAAGGTAGTCCAAATCTGTCACCATTCTTGAAGAAAAATGTTTGAATTGAAGAAAATTAAAAGTAAAGAAAAACACATCATAATGGTTCAAAACTGACCTATTATTAGTTATTTATTTCTCAGCAAAACGGAAATGCAATTAATTCATTAAAGGCATATATCTGCTAGTTAGTTATAAATTTCTTTGGAGCAGAAGGAGTATGGACCAATTGGAGTGTTGTTACTGTTGATGTTGTTGAAGTTACAACCTGTGCTCAATCTTAATACGTAATTTCCTTAAAGGATTTTGTAAATGCCAGCAGGCAAGCAGTAAATCAATAAAATTACAAATTTACTTACCAGGCAAGTTGGTCTAAAATGAAATGAGGTTCAATCAAGATGGAAAAAAAAGAAGCAATGGAGCATTAATGGCCGCAGTGAATTACCTTATAAATTCTGCTGATATGTTTTGCAAATATTCACTGGTTTGGGGTCGTATGTGACTATTTCCAAACAACTCAAGAAATAGCTCAGTCTTTTCTAAATTGAAATAAAAATGATAAAAATGGCTTGAGAGAAACAATAAAATCTAAAGAAACTAGCAAGAGCAGTGTTAAGCCCTGGCTAAACAAAAAAAAAAGTTTCGTAATTAAACTGTCAGTGATGACTCTTTGGTAAACAAGTCTAACATTGTTTCCAAGCAGTATGGGAACACCAGAGTGTTTTGTGAGCTTTGATGCACTGTGATTGCATATTTCACAAATTTACTTGTATTTATAGTCTTCAGGCTTAAATAAACTGCTTGATTGAAAGATGCAATTTTAATTTTAAAAAATACATCAAATTAAATACAGTTTGAACTGTCCCTGAATTTTTGTGATGTTATAATTTTCTTTGTTTTATTAATTATTGGTAAAGAAAAATGGTTTTGGCATCATACAGTGCAGCTCAGATGTATTGTTTCTATCATTCTATTCTCTGATACRACGTAGCTTTTCAGCCAATTAGAGCACTAGCCCTTGGTTAAACTGAGTGTTCTAATAACTAAATAAAAATAGTAGAATCAGTCATCTGGGTATAGCGCTAAGGATCAAATGTTATTCACATTACATACGAAGGCCGTAACCAGAACTTTTACAGGGAGGGTGCACATCAAATAAAATCGGACCATTSATCGTTTCTTTTAAGAAAGCAGAACCAAAAATATGTATATATGGAAAAAAACAGGTAACCAAAAGAAAGCAGAACCAAAAAAAAAATTAAAAAAGGTAACCGAAATAAAGCAGAAACAAAAAAAAAGGAGATGGATGAGCGGACCTTAAGCTTTTATGGGAGGGGGGTGCACGTGCACCCTGTGCTCCCCCCTAGTTACGGCCCTGCATACCTTGTAGTCCAAGTTTTTCTTTAGGCTCCAAAGCAATTGACAAGAGAAGTAGATGCCGAGCCAAGAGTTCAATGTTATTTTCTACAACATAAACCTGGAATCAAAATCCCGGTGAAAAATTTCCATTAAACTACAGTAGATGATGGCCTAAGATAAGATAACAGGGGCGTACCCACATGATAAGTTCAATTTACTAACATTCTAAATATGGGTTTTTGGGTGCCCCCAAAGGCAAAATCCTAGCTAYGCCCCTGGATAAGAACTATGAGCAACTGAATGAAATATATCCAAGTCAGTAATAATTGTAGTACATAAGTACATAATAAGTTTTTCAGTCTGCAGTTTCTTAGCCTGTGAGCAGAGGTCCTTTTCTACCCCACCTAATAGCTCAAGCAAATTATAATGTTATTCAAATGCAAAGTCTGTAAAATCAACCAATAAAAAATCRATTTTTCATGACCACTTGGTAGACATCAAAAATGTTTCATTTCGATGCATGACTGAATGAAGAGCATCCAGTTGATGTTTAGATAGACTTTTGATTCTTGTCATCAGAAAAATTTTCTTACATATAAGTTCACACAGTGGTGAATAATATGTTGTTTAAAAGATTGTTTGTTCTTCAGCTGGTGAGAACGAGCCGAAGTACACTTTTGTCATGCGCAAGATGAGGAAAACTTGTTTTTTTACATCCAAAAATTTGGATTATAATTCGAGAGTGCCAGCAGAGGTTATTTTACTCTAGCTTCCTAGCTGAGTAGAAAAGGATCTCTGCTTGCAGGGTAGCAGTTCCTCAGCCTGTATTTTCTGTTCTGAGTTTCATAACTGCTGCATTCCAACCCCCTTAAATAAGGRAGGACATGTAATAAAGTAATTAAAAGTCCATTTTCTCCAATATTTACATTTATCATCTTTCTTGGATATCTTTTAGCATATGCCAGGGTTTTAAGAATATGTCTGCAGTCTCCAGCACCAATCAGGAGAATATTAAACTGATCTACACAATGAAATAAAACAGATAACAATAAAGAAATAGTGTGTGTGCAGTTATAAAGCCAGGGTTGGCAGAACATGAGAGAAGTGTTATGAGAAGCATGAGAAGTAGCAGAATGCTTGACACTTCTTGAGTGTTCTGCCAATCCCCAAAGGCTTTATAACTCCACACAGCACAGCAAGCAAGTTTTATCTTTCTTTTGCAAAATACAAAGTACAGAAATGACGAAACTGAAAGTGCACATGCGTGCAGTGTGCTCTCATAAAGCATTTGCTCCCAACCAATCAGAACTCGAGATTTTGAACAGTTATTTTAGAATCTTATTTTTAAACAAATTTGTAGCCCATCCCGTAAGCTGTCACTGTTTGAAAACTCATTTTTCAGGATGGATAAATGAAAAAAAATAACGTCAATAATGACTTTCACCTGGTTCCTTTTCATCTTCTCCATGTTTTACTTCTAACTTTCTAAATTTGGATGTCAAATCTGAAATAGAAAACAAACAGTAACTTAATATCGATCAGATCGAGAACAGGTTTGTTTCCATGGCTTCAAAACTTTACAAAATAGAGTGTAAATAGTCCCAATTACTTAAGAATTCGTGTTGTAGATCCAGGGCAGGGCTACATCCCCACCAAGTAATTGCCCCAAAAGCGTCTACCATCGTAGATTGTGATCAAAATAACAATTACAGCTCGTGACTACAACTCCGTGACTATTTGACAACGGTGAAGTAAGGGACTGGAACCTTTCCAAGGAAAGAGCACAGTGAGCCCATATCAATTTTTTTCATAATGTACTTTTAGAATATGCATTTATTCTAAGATCAGTGTATTTGGTCTCAGAGACTAAAAACACATTTTAGCTTTTCCAACGTAGCAACAGTAGCTAGGGAAGATAAGATGTATTCCTACGTATTACAGTTATTACACATGATTCCAAGTTGTATTACGGTATTGCTTGGGCTTCCTCTGGTTATTTTTGGTCAACACGGGCTGACGGGGTTCCTGTGTTCATCAGTCAGTGAAGGATCCAAGATGGCGGCCCTTATTTCTGAATTTCGTGGAGGTTTAGGCCAACTATTTCAGGTATTAAGTTGTGTCGTTTGAACATTTAGAAAAAGATTTATTAGATACTTAGAAAGAATTAATTTAGGGCCTAAAATATGGGAATGCTACTGTATTATTTTGCTCACAGAAAACAAGACTATTAACAACRGTTCATAACCGGATTGCTGCAAGAAATAAGATTAGATCAATCAGTTCGTTGTCTGACAAGACACCAGTAACTTCGAGCTCACCAGGTACGCAAACACTCACTTCTATTAATAATATTCAATTTCTGAAAGCTGTCATTATACATAATATATCGATATTACTAAATAAAAATTCCAAAAGTTTTTTTCCATAATTATGAAATAAGATGTGTTTGAAAAGCCACTCTCTGAGTTTAGATCTATTTATTATACATACACAATACTCGGGTTTGGCAGGGRTGACATATGCTGCTATTGCCATCTTTCATTGCTGTGAGTCCAATAGGTCAGGTTGCTGGTCTGAGCCCTGTGGTCGCCATGCTTGAATCGAGTTTGCATGATGTGTTGTTCTCTTCTGTGCCACAAGGGTTTTTCTCAGGGTTCTCTGGTTTTCCTCCCTCCTCAGTTTAAGACTTTAAAATAATGAGACTAAAGCAAGGAACGCCTGCCATGAAGTGTAGCACGAGCACGTAAACAAGAACTACAAGGAACGCCAGCTATATCTTAGAATATGTGCGATAAAATCGAAGATAAACCATCATAGTCAAAATTTTAACGTGCTCCCTTGGTAACATCAGGGTCAAATTACACTTCTCGTGCAGACTAGGTTTCTGATTGACTCCACTACCCAAAGCTGGAGTGTATTGTTTTAGTTCTAATTTTTGAAGAATCCTAATCATCTACAAGCATTATGTTCCGGAAGCATTGCTACAGTATGCAATGAATCATTTTCTCTGCCAGGCAAGAATGGCAGTTTTGTAGGTGAAGTTTGGGAACCCAGTTCCATCAGTCTTGTTATTTCTGCTAAATGTGTTATGACCATCATGATAGGATGATACATAATCACTTAWAGCTTTCTGCAAGATTTGAGAAATTATGTCAACAAATCTGGATAAGGATCTTACCCCTGACAATCAAAAATTAGTTAAAGACACTGTTAACTCTTTCATTTCTGATKGCTCTTTACCYTCCACTGCTAAAAACCTYTTTGTTATTACTCCTCGTACTTCTCACGTCTATTTTCTTCCTAAGATTCACAAAGCTAACAACCCTAGTCGTCCTATTGTTTCTGCTTGTAGTTGTCCTACTGAACTCATCTCTAGCTATCTAGATTCTCTCATGCTGCCTATTGTTCAGTCTTTACCTACTTATATTAAGGATACTAATCACGCTCTTAGTATTTTTAATGATTTTCGCTTTCCTAATAACTCTTCTAAGCTATTGTTTACTATGGATGTCAAATCTTTGTATACTGTTATTCCTAATGATGAGGGCCTTCGTGCTCTTCAGCATTTTTTTGATCTTCGTCCTGTCCTCAAGCCCAGCACTCCCACTTTGTTACGCTTAGCTGAACTTGTTCTTACTCTTAATTGTTTTTCTTTCGGTGATCGGTATTATCGGCA